CGACCCCGAAAAGCTGGAAACCAAGCGGTCACAGTTTGAGGACAAAGACACCGAATCCCTCCTGCAGAAACGTGCTAGACGATGTTTGTAATGTTCGCAATTTAAATTGCCCCTTCTACCCACGACGACAAAGCAAGCTCTCACATTACAGCCCCTGTGTAACCTACATTAATCCCGCTTCAGCAGCACAGGAAGCCGCCGACGTTGCGGGAATCATGGGGTGAAGACCCGAAAGTCGCTGGAAGTGGGTTGCTGTCTTCAATTAGTGGAGCAATGAATACAAGTTGCAGCACGTGTACATCACTTTCGAAGGCGCCGCTAAGACCAAGTTGCTCCTTACTAGCGTTGTGGAACATTTTCAGAACCAGGTTCTTGGTTACCTTGTCTAGCGTCGTACACAAAGAGGTGGCACAACTTCCACTTGAAGCTCGCGCCCCGCCCCGCTGCGGTGGTCTAGTGGCTAAGGTAAGGTACTTGGCTACTGACCCGCAGGTCGTGGGTTCAAATCCCAGCTGTGGCGGCTGCATTTCCGATGGAGGCGGAAATGTTGCTGGCCCGTGTGCTCAGATTTGGGTGCACGTTAAAACCCCATGTGGTCGAAATTTCCGGAGCCCTCCACTACAGCGTCTCTCATAATCATTTGGTGGTTTTGGGACGTTAAACCCCACAAATCTATCAAGCTCGCGCCCAGTTCACCAACAAAAATGTCACGCTATTCACGGAAGAAATCACCCCCATTTCCTGCCCCGCAGAACCCAAATTTTCCGAAAAAAAAAAAACGAAAGTGCACTTCCTCATGCGAGGAGTAAATCTAGAACAAACTGGCGTTGTCGCGATCAAGCACCGCGACTTTACCGCAAGACAAGAGTAGTAACAAGACACCTCGACATTCTTATCGACGACCACAACGTAATTGATCTAGTCGACCCTCTAGCCGACTGTTTTGTCTTTACTCGGGCATTTCCTGCGAAGTTTCAGAAAGTTTAGACTGTTTGGGAAAGCCCCGGACTCGGAAAAGCTAAAGGCCATCTATTACCATCGTTTGCAAGTCCAGACGAAAGCACTCTGATGCCGACTGCCTGTCCCTCTCCTCCATCAACCCACCATAGCTGTACACCAGGATTATGGCTACTTTCTGGGAAGCGTAAGTGTTGACGGCTTCGCTGAAGAACAGGGAGCAGACTCGGAACTCAGGGGCCTTGTGGGGTACCTTGAGAACAGGACCACCGTTGTTCCGAAAGCAGTCAAGCGACGACTGGCGTTGTTTTTTTTCTGAGAAATGATGTTCTTCAAGGAGAACTTCTTGCCACCTAGAGCCGTATATTTATACCTTCTAGTTGTAGCTCCATCATAGCGTCTGGAGGTTCTGGAAGCTTTACATGACGTGAAGGCTGGACACCTCAAATTTTCCCGCATGCTCTCGAGGATACAAGAAAAGTACTACTCGCCTCGCCTCACTGCCGCCGTCAACCACAACATAAAAAATTGCTGAGACTGTCAGCGACGGAAGGCACCACTCGCCAGTCCAGCTGAATTTTTGTAGCCCATCCAGCTACCTCGTAAGCTTCATCCCGTTCCGGCCCTGGTAGGTCCATCCTGTTCCAGCGGAACAGTATGGACCTACCAGGGCTGTTACTTTTGTTGGGATCCGGAAATAAACAGATCATAAATGCATACCTCAGTGGCACTGCTTAAAGGCAGTGCCACTGAGGTATTCTTGTTGTTCGCTGATGGCATCGTTTGCATCATGGCGCACCAGAGGGCCTCATCACCGACAGAAGCGTGGCCTTTGTTGCTGACCTAACTAAGGCGATCTTCACATAAAACCAGACAAGCCACCCACGACTCACAGCTTACAACACTCAGTCACGTTATCGAGTGACTGAATGTGACATCTGATTGTGACCATCACCGAGAGGCTGGTCACGTACTGTCATCAGCAAGCTTAACTGGAACGCTCAGCAGCGTGGTCTCGGCTGGTTTGACTGATGCCAGTCGCGAAGTGCTTGTTGGTGTTGTCAAAATAATACCTCGGTATGCGTGGTTAGTATCTCGGCTTGCATTGGTGACATCTAGGCAACAGAACGCAAAACCACGAAGCACTGGAGTCGATCAAACCATCCCAGGACCCCCTGCGGAGCGTTAGAGTTGAACACAATACGTTGAACACAATACATGGAACGTCATTCTTCCGGACGTGTCCTTCGCATGCGCCCCGCCGCGGTGGTCTAGTGGCTAAGGTACTCGGCTGCTGACCCGCAGGTCGCGGGTTCAAATCCCGGCTGCGGCGGCTGCATTTCCGATGGAGGCGGAAATGTTGTAGGCCCGTGGGCTCAGATTTGGGTGCACGTTAAAGAACCCCAGATGGTCAAAATTTCCTGAGCCCTCCACTACGGCGTCTCTCATAATCATATGGTGGTTTTGGGACGTTAAACCCCACAAATCAATCAATCAATCCTTAGCATGCAACACGGCCTCATATAACAAGTTGGTCTACTAAAGGGGCCCAGAAACAACTCGACACCATCCTATCACATGACGAAGGAAACCTGGACGTACCGGTCTACTTTCAACACTCCACAGAAACCGGACAACTCGCCCGTCTGCATATTAAAAACATCACAGCATATCCACGAGGTAAATGATGACGAGTGGGGTGAAGCGTACATACGGACGGATGGACAGACGCACGAACGGACTGACGGACACTTCGCCCCACTCATCATCATTCACTCCATGGGTATGCTGTGACGCCATTTTAATTCACATGCAATGCAACTAGCTACTACGATTACGACGATACGGGACATACGACCCACGGTATGAGAAGCTTCGCCCCTAAAACAGCCAACGAAATACCTACAGTCATCATTACAACCTTCGATGACGCACGTAGCATATCAGCCCGGCGACCGTCTTTGGGCTGGACGTCGACACGCCCACGTCCACTTTTGCGAAAAGCTTCGTCGAGGATGCTTCGTACCATACGATGTGCTTTGACATCCCGGAGCTTTCGACCCTTAGTTATCCGGACGAACTTTCGGTGGTGCCGCGCACGACCTGAAGTCGTCCATGTCATGCGCATTAGGCCATCTTATATTAGCAAATCTGAGGACTCTACTTTTAAACTGCTTTATTATTATACTTTGTTGTGTAAGCGCATTTTCTCTCTTACCCTACTTATTATGTTGCATCGGAACAATGCACATTCTGATGTGGGCCTGGTTAAAAAAAAGAAAGAACAAAAGAGGTGCCCGTACAGGGGCTTTTGTTTTTTTATGTAACCAGTAGCGTAGCTAGGGGGTGGCACACCAGGCCCACGCAGCCCTCCCCCGAATTTTTTTAGCAAGCCATACATAGCGCGAAATCCCTTTTTTCCTGCCTTGCCCCCCATCAGATCAAAAAGGTGCCCCCCCCCCCCCCCCTCTAAAAGATTTCTGCCTACGCGCCTTCATGTAAACGATCCGTCACACGTTACACTTCCTTGCGCAAGCAGCGCCCTGGTATCTGAAAACCTTCCAGATTATTTTAAAATCTTCAGATAACTTTCAGTGTTCAAACTCGAACAGTTCACTTTATGCTGGAAGCAACGCGACCACAAGCTAACAGGCACGAATGTTCCATACCGCATGCATTTCTACCAAAGTGCCTTAACTCACAGCAGGTCACTCGATGGCCGGCGACTGTTCACGCCAATTTCAGGGCTAAGCTTGTAATGCTTGCATTTTGATTCTTTTTCACTTTCCGGGTACAAGTTCGGCCAAATGTAAAGTTTCATGTTTCACTTTTGCTGCAGCCTTCTTCACCATCACAACCAAGTGACAAAAAGTGTCGTGTCGTGATCGGCTGAAACAGTTTCTTTCGAAAATTTTCAGCGTAAGACGTTTTTGTAATTACTGATCCTGGATGGCCAAAACTAAGCTGGTTTGAATAGCAATGACATTAGCTTGTGAGCTGAGTTTGTAGCGAAACGCCAGTACTTTTTCTCGTTCGCCTATAAACTGTGGCGCACAACCACTACCGGTGATTTCATAGAATATTATAGAACTTCTGAATAAGGGAGGGTTTATTATAGAAATTTTACAAGTTATATATAAAAATTTTGCGTGCTCGATCAGATGTATTCGCCTATGTAAAAAGAAAACAAAACAAAGCTTTGAAATGATATTATTAATAATTGGTAATAAACTAAAATGATGCCCTAACTTTTTATACATACATCCTTTTTTGTACTTTTTTTCGTAAAGCTTGCGCACGTGTGACTGACTATATAACCTAATCGTAACTATAATGGTGTGTTATGATGTGTCGGTGTTTTACAGTTTGGTTTCACAGTTGTGTATAGATGTTTTGCATATGTAATCTTTATATTGATTGTTACTTTTTACTTATAAGTTGTGCCCTTCCTGCATTATTTCCTAATAGGATTGGCAGTATGTACTAAATAACTAATATAAAATAAGGGTGTAGACACAGAAAGATAATATTTACTGCTTAGCTAGTTTACTGATTTGGTTTTCTATAATGTAGTTCCTTACAGTCACGCACAGCATCACATTGAAGAAACCAGTTTATTGGCTGGTTGGTTCGTTGGTTGGTTGACCCTTTTAAACTGGAACAACCCACCATGGAAGATAGGCCATGAAACGAGCGGTTCCTTGTTATATAAAAGTTTTTTTTATAATTTCAAAATGTTTAGAAGTACACAGTTTTGAAATAACTCGTAAGGTCTCTCTGTCACGACGTGGGAGCGGCCCACTAAGCGCTAAACGCACGCACCGAAGGACCACAATAAAAATTTTTATCTATCCATCAGTTGAATTCACGAGAAGAAATAAAAAGAAGAACTAGTTTACTTGCGCGTGAAGGGCATCAATATCGTCTTCTGCGGTTGTATCTCTAAATCTTTTTCCAGATTGGCCCATCCCCCTTCGTGAGGGAGCGTCATCCATCTGAGATCATAATCATCATCATCATCGTTGACATCGTCTTCTGAGACGATGCATCTAGAACATTCTCTGCGAAGGCACGTGACTGACGTGGTCTCTGCCGTGATCCGGTCGCGGTGCCGCAGCAGTCGCAAGACTGTCGGGACAGCGGCAAGTGGTGGCACGGTCCACCCGAAATCACGACGGGCAGGAACGCGTGACGTCTTGCCGCGGCCACGACTTCCTACGGGCGCCCGGCCGGACGACAACATGGCCACTTCGAAGGACGAAGACGATTCTCCACCGGCGAAGAGACGGAGGACCGACGAAGGAGATGCGTCCCAGGAGGCGGTACGTGAACGCTGACTTGTTATCTTGATATAAGTGCGTCTGGGGCTGAGATACCCGTTGCATGGTTTGCAGAAGACACTGTCTCTGTGGGCGAGGCGAGGTACAGTGCCAGAAGGCAATTTGAAGTGGTAGGCCATTACCTAGCGCCGTAACACTTATAAGGAAATTTAGAGTAATAGCAAATGCATATGTTATCGGAGAATTACTCTGGTTAAATTGAGGACCAATTAAGTATTCGCTTCCTCAGTGCGCGAGGCACAATTTAATGGCGCCACGAACACCGACGTGTGGGTGCTACACCAGACACCCAAGTCATGGTTTAGGGTTGCCTATTCCTTTTCCTTCTGCTATTTGATTTTGCCAGTTAAGCACATTGGCGCTTTTGCTATTGCTCTATTCTTTGCGCATTTCAATTCTGATTGCTGTTATGGGCATGCATAGGTCGGCGAAACATGTGGAGCTTGTAGTGCCGTGGCTAGGCGGCTCCAACGAAGACGAAACGTGGTAGCGGGTGGCCGACACGGCCGGCGGAGATGCCAGCTGACTAATGGCGCAGCGTGGCGCGGAAAGCCGAATACGACCATTCGTCTGTAGTGCTTGTCACAAACTATGCAAACAAAAAAAATGTTCCGTAATGGCGCAAGTATCATCGCTGCCGAGCGAGGCGCCACCAAAGCAACTTGAGTAACCAAAGCGAAACTAGAACAGTCAACATCAGAACACAACCGAGCTCCCTCAGTCGCACTCAGGAAATTTATTTCGCGATTGGAGCCGACTCGGACTCCGACTGCGATTTCGCAGACGCACAGCTCAGGTGGACCCACTTAGACTCGGCAAAGTATTACTCACCCAGACTCGCTCAGACTCGAGCTCAGACCTCGATCTGCGTCATTAGTCCGATTGAGTCATCTTTGGTTAGGAATTCTTGACTCTGTATCACTGGTGTGCGAGGTATTTTACAGTCAGTTAAAAGAAAGCAGTCAGCTTTGTGGCGCGGCTTTGCCGTCCGTACAAGAACATCGGGATTCATTCTCAGATCGGCTTATATATCACTGATGACAGTAAGAAGTTCCTCATCTCTTATTTTTGAAATGTATGACAACATGATGAATGGCTTGAGAATTTGCCCTGTGAGCTTAACTGTCAGCAATTCAGCGCACGTATTTGAAAACGGATGAGCAATATCTCACCAATGATCTTTCCTGTGTGGCGAAAGCGTATTCTTTGCGGTAATCCTGAGTATTGATATGCAAATTTTTTGCGGCAATTGCACAAAAACATATTATATGCGTATTATTGTGAGCGTACATCTAAGTAAGGTGGTGCTCATGATTTCTTAATGACACTACAAGTCCATTTTCAGGCGGAAATTCCTTTGCGATCTGTTACTGTATTTCCGGGAAGTGGTGGCTGCTGCTGGTTTCTCACTGAACAGTTTCAGCGCGTTGGTGGATTGCTTTAGTTGAGCAATCGAACCTCCGCCTCAATGTAACCATAGGTACGGTAAGTCATACCCCACTTTCAATATGTCACTTCCGGTTGTGCATTATGATTCATATCCCCATTATGATTCATATCCAAGTGAATATTTGTTCCGGTACACGCCTTCGCCATTGGTCTTCCGTTGGCCTGACCTCTACGCCTGTGTGTGTGCAGCAAAACCATATCCAGTCGGGCCTACCCGAACAGAAACCAGTGGACATCGATGAGAGAATCTACTCTAGACAGCTGTAAGTTGGAGGCTAATAAATAGCCTCTCTGACGTCTGTTATAGGTTCAATGACCCGACGTGCGTCTGGTCTTTCTGAGTGAGTGAAAAGTAATTTGCAGTATGGAGGGCAGCTCGGACAGTTATCTTCTGAAGAAGGGTGCGCTTCGCAAACGCACTTGTGTGTGCATTAGTGTCATGTGAATGAAGAACGTTTTCAACACAGTAAATACGATTTACATACAGACTACTCACTCACGCATATGCACTGTGACAAATATTTCGAATTTCTCACTCAACACACAAGGCATCCCACTGCGCATAAATATATTCATTCATGCATTATGATTCTTTGGCATAGCATTCTAGTGCTGCGTGATTGAAAAATCTAGAAACGTGCAAACCAAATGAAAAAAATCGCAGCATATCTACGGGGTGAAGGATGATGAGTGGGCGAAGCTCCGGAGGGAATCATCGGTAGACCGTCAATCTTCCGTGTGATTCTCCGAGTCCATCATCATTTAGAGACGTGAAAAACGCATTGTGCGTATGCCGTACCACTTGGGCCTCCCACTTCCGTACGGCAGGATGTTGGTAACGGTGTCGCGCAGCGTCACGGCGCACCAACAGCGAACGAATTTTATTACGAAGCTTTCCCTAGCGTACGTCGCCGCACTAAAACGAACGATTGCCTTCCACCAATGACGCGCGCCTTATGTGACATCATTCCTATTATAACATCTCGCATCTTTCATTTTCAACTACAGGTACCGCCATCTAGCATTTTATCTCGCATCTATTCATCAACTCCAAGTACCACCATCTAGTTTTATAACATTTCGCATCAACTACCGCCATCTAGTGAACACTGCAAGAAGTAAACTAGATTGACTGATTGATTTTGTGGGGTTTAACGTCCCAAAACCACTACATGATTATGAGAGACGCTGTAGTGGAGGGCTCCGGAAATTTCGACCACCTGGGGTTCTTTAACGTGCACCTAAATCTGAGTACACGGGCCTACAACTTTCCGCCTCCATCGGAAATGCAGCCGCCACAGCAGGGATTTGATCCCGCGACCAGCGGGTTAGCAGCCGAGTACCTTAGCCACTAGACCACCTTGGCGGGGCAAGTAAACTATAGGTGGCTACCTAGTATTACTACAACTACATACCTCAGAGAATGCACCGACTCACTCTTGAAGGAGCTTCGCCCCTAAATAGGTAAAATAAAAAAAAAACTTTCTTGTCAAGTGGAATCGAAACATACGATACTGAGCGTAGTTTTGCGGGGCTGTAAGCGTTATAAACAAGGTTCACTCACATTGTGCATATTGCAATTTTAGTTTTATTTTGTTTGCTGGGAACAAAGTATTCCGGGAAAAATTTCTTGCCAATTATCTGATCGAGATACCTTGATGTCTCGCCTACATAGGTGCGCTTAAATAGTGACGATTGAGATTTTTTGCAACGTTGCCTTGGTCGGCCACTTCGAGAGGTTTTTTGGAAGCTGTACCAGAGACAGCAAATCACAATATATGAAACTCACTACGTTGGACGCCAATACTCGCAATGACACGGGCAAAAAAGGAAAATGCCTTTCGTTACCTTGAGTGTTTCACGCAGCTTTTAGAGGGAACTGTTTCAAAGAACGTCGGTTTAGTTCATTTCATTGTTGCTCAACCTGACCTGTGATTGCCCACGTACAGACAAGGTTAATATTAGTACGTCAAAAGCACACAAAAGCATGAAACATGCAAATGTAACCCATATGAATCATAAAAGCAGATGAACCGTTGTTGTCACTGAAACATCGAAACTTTATTCACACATTGTTTATCCTCTGAAGTGTGCTGTGCACCGAACAATATGCGTGCAATTCGATCTGCGTAGTGTGTGGGGCCTCGCTAAATGGGGTAGTTATCTTCACAGCTGGAAACAGCGTGTTTAACGGGAGTGTAAACCACTCCTATACCCCATCCCCCTCTTCCTTCCCTAAACAAGGAATATGGCCCCACCGCGGTGGTCTAGTGGCTAAGGTACTGGGCTGCTGACCCGCAGATCGCGCGATCAAATCCCGGCTGTGGCGGCGGCTGCATTTTCGTTGGAGGCGGAAATGTTGTAGGCCCGTGTGCTCAGATTTGGGTGCACGGTAAAAAACCCCAGGTGGTCGAAATTTCCGGAGCCCTCCACTACGGCGTCTCTCATAATCATATAGTGGTTTTGGGACGTTAAACCACACATATCGATCAATCAAACAAGGAGTATGCTTGGAACCATCGAAACCTTTTTGCTCGGAAACTGTTTAAGACTCGAAGTAAGCAACAACGAATATAAAAGCACAAGTCACGTATGACCCACGTTACAGCTACGTTCTCGGGCGCGACGCCATGGTGCGCCTGGCCCAATCGGACGTTCTTATTGTGGGCATGGGAGGCTTGGGTGTCGAGATCGCCAAGAACGTCGTCCTTGCCGGCGTCAAGTCTGTCACCATCTACGACGAGCAAGTGTGCACCGGTGTGGACCTCTCGTCTCAGGTTAGAGACCATGCTCTCAACAATTTTTAAGTAAATTTCGGCTCTGACACGAAAGGGGCTTAATTTTTTTATCTTCTTGCTCTAAGGCTGTTGTTAGTTGCCACTGAAACTGTGCACTGAATTTCGTGTGATGCAAAAATATTTGAAGAATTAAAAAGTGCTTACTTTGGAGGTCATAACAGAAACAAGCTTAGACGCATCACTTTCGTCTACTGCCCGCAAACATGCCGGATTACATGATAGTCAACCGAATTAAACAAGGCCCTTTGGCGGCGTACTTCATTACCATGCGGAAAATAATGCAGTGGACTCTTCTACGAAGCACATATATGCATTCCAAATGCTTAAAGTTTGTGTCTGTAAAGTCATACATGCCCTGAGTCTCGCGGAAATAGCAGCTAAGTTAATTGAACATATGTAGTAAGTCCTTCGTCAAATGATAATCAGGTATATAAATCAGGACACCAACGTAATTGCACCACTTGAAGTAATTGACCTCAATACAATTGAAGATGTCACGACCGTTATTTCACTTTTTTTTGCCAGCGAAGCCGTTTAGGCTAGGCGTCGTGTGGCTAACGCGCAAAAAAGCTCACACGCATCACACGCATAAAAGCTATCATAATCGAAAGCGGGTATGTGCTAAAGAAATTGGGTAAATTGAACTACTCACCAGCGGTGGTATAAAAATGAAGAGAGCAACCGCAGCAGTGGCTACAGTAACCGCAAAGGTAGCCATATGATTAGAGCGTCCGCTCTAATCATGTGGCTACCTTTGCGGTTACTGTAGCCACTGCTGCGGTTGCTCTCTTCATTTTTATACCACCGCTGGTGAGTAGTTTAATTTACTATCTGCGGCCTTGCCATATCTGCCCGTGTACCACACAGCTACATGAAAAATACATGCATTATAAAAGGGGTCCCAAGATGGTACTCGGACGAAGAGCTGTTAACCTACCTGAGACCTCAGGGAGTATACCACGCAAGAAGAATCATACGACGAGTCCAAACCTCATCCAACGAATGGGAATCAAGGCGCACTGACTCTGTAGTTCTCACATTTGCTCCCAATTCGGAACGTCCAGAGAAGATCAACCTTAGCTTCACCAGACACGAGTTGGTAGACTACGTGGAGACGCCACCACGCTGTTTTAAATGTCAGCGTTTTGGACATGTTGCTAAGCACTGTCATGGGGAACAAAGGTGTAAGCGCTGTGGGGGGCCTCATGACTTTAAGACGTGTACAAGTAAAAAAAAACTTGTGTGTGCAAACTGTGGCGGCGACCGCCCAGCTAGCTACGGCCGATGTCCAGCACGAACAGCTGCGCAGCGAAGAAATAAGACGTTTGTCCTCAGCCCGAAGACTGTGAACGAACCATCGCTCACAAAGAAGACGTCCGGCGCGCCACAACATGGCGGTTTGGATAACGCGTACGCAGGAAATTTTCCGCGCCTAAACCCGACAAGAGCTGGTACTGAGTCAACGCAAGTGCTCAACGCTGGTGAGAAATGTATCACGAAAGAGTCCGCCAAGCGCACCTACGCTGATGCACTGAGCCCATCTCAAGTACCATCTGGAAGCCAACAGCAAGAAAACCTCGAGCACGTTATTCGCGCTCTTTTCACCGCGCTACGTTCACACGTCGCGAAGATGCCTGCGAGTTCAACGAAGGATATGTTGGAAGCTGTCCTGGCTCTAGAGTCAGTGTTACTTTGCTCTGCTTCCACAAACACACAGTAGAATAATGGCAATGTCTCGCCCACCTGGTCTATTTCATCCTTCAAAAGTTCCCTTAATAATGCAATGGAAGTGCGCCGGTCTTCTAAAACGCCTGTACGAACTCAACCTTTTCCTGCGCGACATTCCAATACCGATTCTAGCCCTCTCCGAAGCCGGTCTACCGAATGCAAGGACGCTCCCAGGGTACACCCGACACGGCAACCCGAGCATAACGTCGTTTGCAAATGGAAGCGCAATGATATACATAAGGCGGGAAATCCCTCACGTCGCCTTACCAGTGCAAGACCTCTGTTCCAACTCACTGGAAGTCGCTGCTGTGCAAGTGTGCCTGGGAAACCGAAAACCGAGTGTGGTATCGGTGTACATAAGCCCACGAAAAAAGGTCTCCATGGAGACTTTCCTAAAAGACCTTTGCACTCGATGTCCCGCTCCTCGAATAATCTATGGTGATTTTAACGCGCACCATCCACTCTGGGGAGATAATAGTGTAGATTTTCGAGGCAAGGAACTTCTAGCAGCAGCGGATGCTGCCGACTTATGTGTGGCGAACGATGGTAAACCTACATTTTTTAGGCCACCAGATTCATGGAGTGCAATAGACCTTGTACTTCACTCCACAGACCTTCTGGTATCATCGACTATGGCTCCAGACAAGATGGGCAGCGACCATTTCCCCATCTTCACCAATATCCTGGTATTTCGAACTGCTGGTCGACAATTCTGCAATGTAACACGCTGGGACACCTACAGAGAAGTGTTGGACAAATCCACTGGCGAGCTGTTCGCAGATATTGTTACGGGAGAATAACTTTACTTTATAAAACGAGGAATAAACTCGGTGGTGGACAAGATGGCGCCCAGTTGGCTCACAGATCTGACAACATCGTCCTCCTCTTTGTCTTCTTCGTCGTTCTCATCCTACCGTTACATGATTTCCCCGGCGGCTGGAGCACCGACCCGGTGCTAATCAGGAGGCACTGGAGTAATACGGTTTGAGTCGCGTAACATGCACTACGTCAGTGTGAGGGTGAAGGATGGCGGGGTCCGTAGGGGTGATTTCGTATGTGACGTCAGTTACTTGGCGTAAGATACGGTAGGGACCTGAATAGCGTGGGAGTAACTTCTCCGAAAGTCCAACGCGGCGCGAGGGGAACCATAACAGAACGAGATCTCCGGGTGTGAAGTGGACGTCACGATGGCGGGCGTCGTATACGCTCTTCTGATTGTCCTGGGAGTCCAGTAAGCGTCGTCGAGCAACTTGGCGTGCCGCTTGGGCCTTCATTATTGCATCACGAGCGTACTGAGACTTGTCATTTAGTCCGGCCGGCAGGAGGGTGTCGAAAGGTAGCGCAGGGTCACGGCCGAACAACAGAAAAAAAGGAGAGAACCCAGCGGTGTCGTGTCTGGAAGAATTGTACGCGAATGTTACAAACGGTAACGTAGTGTCCCAGTCGCGGTGATCGGCGGAGACATACATGGAGAGCATGTCGGTGAGAGTGCGATTGAGGCGCTCCGTTAGACCATTTGTTTGTGGATGGTAAGCAGTCGAGAGCTTGTGTTTAGTGGCGCAGGAGCGGAGGAGGTCATCAACCACTTTGGAAAGGAAGTAGCTGCCTCGGTCGGTAAGGAGTTGTCGAGGGGCGCCATGATGTAAGATGACGTCCTCCAAAAGGAAATCGGCCACGTCAGTTGCACAGCTGGTTGGAAGGGCCCGTGTGATCGCGTATCGGGTAGCATAATCGGTTGCTACTGCAATCCACCGATTACCCGCAGCTGACGTAGGAAAAGGGCCAAGCAGGTCCACGCCAACACGGTAGAATGGGTCTTGTGGGATGTGCAGTGGCTGAAGACGTCCGGCCGGAGGGGCATTTGGTTTTTTCCGTCGTTGACAAGGGTCGCAGGCTGCAATATAACGGCAGACGTCGCGGTACATGCCAGGCCAGAAGAAGCGCCGGCGAACTCTGTCGTAGGTCCGTGACACGCCGAGGTGACCCGCTGTAGGTGCATCATGAAGCTGGGCGAGAACAGTGTGACGCAATTGAATGGGAACGACGAGTAGTCTTTCGGGGCCGTCAGGACGCATATTGCAACGGTACAATACACCATCATGTATTTCAAACATTCGAAGGGAAGGGTCGGGGCTCACCGATGTGAGCCTTCGGATAATACCGTCCAAGAAAGTATCTCGTCGCTGCTCGATTCCAATGTCATGAAACGCGGATAGAGAGAAAACGTCGATAGGAAGGGTGGTTTTAGAGGAGTCGCCGTCTGGAGGGTCGACAGGATACCGGGACAAGCAGTCCGCATCTTGATGCAGGCGGCCGGTTTTATACAGGACTGAGTAATCAAATTCTTGAAGGCGCAGCGCCCAACGGCCAAGACGGCCTGAAGGGTCTTTAAGGGACGAAAGCCAGCACAAGGCGTGGTGATCTGTGATTACTGTGAATGGCCGGCCGTACAAATAGGGACGAAATTTACCGACTGCCCAAACAAGTGCCAAGCATTCCCGTTCGGTTATTGAATATTTTCTTTCAGCAGGCGAAAGAAGGCGGCTGGCATAAGCAACAACACGGTCTCGTCCTTGTTGTTTCTGGGCGAGTACTGCACCGATGCCATAGCCACTTGCGTCTGTACGAACTTCTGTTGGAGATGAAATATCAAAGTGGGCGAGGATAGGCGGAGACGTAAGCAGACACACTAGATTTTGAAACGCATCTGCTTGCTCAGGGCCCCAGATGAAGCCAGCGTCTTTTTTGAGAAGTTGAGTGAGAGGGCGTGCTACGTCGGCGAAGTTTTTAACAAAGCGGCGGAAGTAAGAACAGAGGCCAACGAAACTGCGAACGTCTTTGGTACAGGTTGGTACAGGGAAATCTCTTACTGCGCGTATTTTATCTTGATCAGGGCGAACCCCCACGGAATCAACGAGGTGTCCGAGGACAGAAATTTCACGACGGCCGAAGTGGCACTTTGCCGAATTGAGTTGCAGGCCCGCCTTACGAAAGACAGATAAGATTTTCGATAGCCTTTCAAGGTGCGTCGCAAAAGAAGGCGAAAAAACGATAACGTCGTCCAGGTAGCACAGGCAGATGGACCACTTGAAGCCGTGCAACAGAGCGTCCATCATACGTTCGAATGTGGCGGGCGCATTACATAAACCGAATGGCATCACTTTAAACTCGTAAAGGCCGTCGGGAGTGATAAACGCCGTCTTCTCACGGTCCATGTCATCAACGGCAATCTGCCAGTACCCAGAGCGGAG